TGTCAATAGGAGAACCGACACCACTATTAGCGCCCGAGTCTCGCGACCTCGAGCGCCTTCGCTTCGGCGATGGTTCATCTGATTCATCAGATGAACCAAAGATGCTGCGACGCAAAGCATCGTCCATGCCACGCTTGGCAGGCGGCTTGGTTTCAACCGCCTTAAATACAGATCCGTCTTCCGTATCAGGAGAGTATGAGACACCGACCTCATACTTTGTGAAGACACGAGTTTCTTCATGACGAGCGCCTGCATCACCAAGTGACACAGGCTGAGTCGCTTCAGCAACCGATGACACATCTGCGGCAGACGTTTCTGCTTCGGCGTCTGCACAGAGACGTGCAGACGCGCTCTCAGCGGCCTTGCTCGCGCACCGCATGGACTTGATTACCATGCGATGAAACTGATGGTGTAACGGGGCACCCTGAAGCTTGTACAGGTGACAGTACAAGCTACTTTTTCTAATGACAGAATAAGGCGGTGCCTCGTAACTTAACGTACACTCGTACGTGCAGAGGAAGACGGTAAGAAGAAGCGAGTACTTGGTTAAAGTAAAAAGTAGAACTGTATTTAGTATAGTTAATGTCTGCAATAAATCACTTTTATCTTCATCTAACTATGTCTAAATACAAATGTGCATATCAATTATCTGCTCACCACTCATTGCGTGCGTCTGTCGTGGCGCGTCTTCGTTGGTTGATATAATGGCCTATATCAACCAAGTAGGAACTACTCGAAAGTGCTGTAGAATATTTGTCCTTATGACAATATTCTGAGAATATAACTCTTATAGTTATATTCTATTAACAATTTCTTATAAATTGTTATGAAACGATTCACCCCGTTACATCACCCCCCCTTAACCATCAGTCACTTTAGTGACTGATTGACTAAATGGATACTCGTCCCAAATCATTTGGGACAGGGTTTGCACTTGTTGGTCCGCGTCCACTTTCCAACATTTCATCGCATGGTAAACAAGCCCATGCGATGCGCGAGCAAGGCCGCCGAGAGCGCGTCTGCACGTCTCTGTGCGGACGCCGAAGCAGAAACAACAGCAACTGATGTCTCATCGGTTGCTGAAGCGACCCAGCCTGTGTCACTTGGTGATGCAGGCGCTGGTCATGAAGACACTCGTGTCTTCACAGAGTACGAGCTCGGTGTCTCGTACTCTCCTGATACGAATGACGGATCCGTATCGACGGCGATTGAATCTAAGCCGCCTGCCAAGCGTGGCATGGACGATGCTTTGCGTCGCAGCATCTTTGGTTCATCTGATGAATCAGATGAACCATCGCCGAAGCGAAGGCGCTCGAGGTCGCGAGACTCGGGCGCTAATAGTGGTGTCGGTTCTCCTATTGACACGACTTCACAGCGAGGTGACAGTACTTCTGTCGGCACGTCGCAGGAAGAGTGGGACCGCAACATGTTGCGTCTCGCTCCAGAAAAGAAGGCATGGCTATCTCCAAAGTCAGTCATGGATTGCTTGTCGGCGACAACAAGTGATCGCTATCGAACAAGATTGTTCGATTCGTCAAGGATCCATCACCTTGACCCCAGCGCGAAAAACTATCGCGCTGAACATGAATTCTTCATCGATGCTTTCTTTAGACATCGATGGTACAGTGGGAATCACAAACGTGATGGTCCCTCACTACTTCAGGCGTGGAGCGCCTACATCCATAACCTCGAGGATGTAGGTCGTGACGCTTGGAACGACAAACTTATCAGCGCTCGTGATAAGTTTGAAAAGCGAACCCCGACAGGTGCACGCTACAAGCTGCATCGTCTGTTAAGGGAGAAAGGATTACCCTGCCTCTCTTGGGGAGACTCGTGCCCATGTTGTGTGAACAACTCTGCACGAGCACCGAAGGAGGCTTACCTCCTTACCAGCCCGTGGTGGCGCGTACGTGTCTCTACTGAGATGTACGAAGGGATTGACAACCTGAAATCCCTTTACGACCGTGCCGGGAAGACTTTCTCCGGCGGTCCTTCTGCGGCACAGGATGTGCCGCGTCGTACTGCTCAACCAGACCCAGTACGCCGATCATCAGTTGGGAGCGGGGCTCCCAAGAATCCCAGGACGGGGGATAGCCGCGCCACCGGACGAGATAACTCGTCCGACGTCCGTTCACGTCGCGGTGGTTCAACAGCTGCTCAACTAGATAGCGCTGGCCACCGCGAGAGTCCTCTAATGGAGGTGGAGGAGGAGGAAAGACGCTCTCCACACAATCACGTGGATCGGTGTGTTCCCGAGAGCTTCTTTGATCGCGTAACGCAAGGGTTACGCAACGATCTCGAACATGAGCGGGACAGGCGTCTACAAATGGCGGACACTGCCTCGAAGTATCGAGCTGAGTTTGCCTTTGCTCAGCTTGAGAACGAGAGATCTCTGACATCTCTGCGTGACGAGCTAAGGGTAGCTCGTGGGATTGTTGATCGGTCTCGGGCTGAGATAACTGCTCTTCAGACCCTTGTTGATGCCCACCATCGGGAGCACAAGGCTCTCTGTGAGATGCTTGAGCGCAAGGGCGTTCTTCATCGGAAGAACCAGCGTACTGATGGTACGGCTTAAGTCAGACCAACGTAAAACGTGGGATGCGTTCGCATCTTACGTGGTAACTCGATCGTGTATGCATTGCCTAGGCGGTGCAATACACGAAATGGACCGATGTACTTGGGTAGTAGTTTACTGCTACCCAAGTTAGTCAATACATGCTTTGGTAGATTAACCGTAGACAGTAGGACTAAGTCATCTTTATTAAATACAAGAGTGTTTGCCCTTCCATTCTTGTCAGCGTTTTGCTTTTGCTTATCCACCGCTTCGGCGATGGAGTCCTGCACAAAACGGACTACCGTTTCACAAGCCAGTATGAACTCATTTGCTGACTCGTTAGCTTCAGTGCGCTGTGAGTGCACTGCAGCGACATCAATCTTTTCTTCAGTGAGGGCTTCCGCGCTCTCACTGGCATCATCTTCTTCGATATCGATGTTGTCGATATCGGCGTCAAAAGCAATGACCTCATCGTCAGAGCGTGATGAGCGTGAACCAAATCGGTTTTTGTTCGCGCGAGTCCCTCCCCCCTTAACCAGAGGTACACTCTAGTTAGGTGGATACACGCGGATGGCGTAAGCCATTCACGTAAAACGGTGTATGGGTCGTGGACGCATCACCGAGTTGTTAATGGCAAACTCTGGCAAAAACTCACTCCAACTCTTAAAGGAGTGTACGTATCCTCGAAGTATCTCTTTGAGGACAAGATTGGCACGTTCCGTCTGACCATCTGACTCTGGATGATCAGATGTAGACATCTTCAAGCGCGTTCCGAGTGATTTGAACACTGAACGCCAGAAATCAGCAGTGAATCGTGGATCTCTGTCTGATACGAGCTCACGGGGCAAACCCATGAAGTCGGAAGATGGTGTCAATAAAGACACAAGCACAGCCACTTGCCGTGATTGTCTCTGGTACAGCCACAAGGTGTACCATTTTGCTGAATCGGTCAACAAATACAAAAATACCCGTATTCCCGCGTGCGTCTTTGGGTAACCCGAAGACAAAATCCATTGAGATGATTTCCCAGCACTCAGCCGGAACCGGTAGAGGCTGTAAAGGTGCGCGCAGTGAAGGACTTGACTTCACTCGTTGGCAGACTTCACATGCGCGAATATACTTTCGCACAAACTGATACTGGCGGGGCCAGTAAAAGTCTCGACTGACCGTGAGATATGTTTTATCTCGGCCACGATGTCCTCCTATACGAGCATCGTGATACTCGAACATGATCCACAAACGCAGATCAGTATCATCCGGAATGACAACACGTGGTGTGTCACCAGAAACGGCTGTATAACACAGTAAACCGTTACGAGTAGTGTATCGATCTGATGCAGATCGATACGAAGACGACAATCGTTTCAACGATTCTCGAGACGGTTGGGAGAGATGTGTCAACAACTTCACTATCTCACCATCTTGGGCGTATGCCCGCCTCACATCATCATACAACGTTGTAGATGGGACTGAGGACGTCATAACCGCAACAGTGACTGTCTCACTGTTGGGTTTCACGACTGGTTCAAAGTCGGGACGACGTGAGAGTGCATCAGCGACGACATTAAGTCGTCCTGGTTTGTACTCGATCGTAAAGTTGTATTCTGCAAAGAATGACAACCACCGCGCCATTCGTTGTGAAAGGTGCGGGCTGTTTATTGCCGTGCGTAATGACGCATGGTCAGTGTAAACAACGAAGGGTCTATCTCCTAATAGATAGACTCTGAACTTCGCGAGTGCATACTTCATGGCAAGGAGTTCCTTGTCATGCACTGGATAGTTCCGCTCAGCTGGTTGCAGCTGACGCAACTGATAGCAGACGACGCGTTCAATGCCTTCAAGATCGTACTGCATTAATGCACAGCCGATTGCGAAATCGCTGACATCACAGACCACATGAAATGGCCTGTCCTGATCGGCTATTGCTAGGACTGGGGATTGTATCAAGCTCTGCTTGATACCATCAAAGGAGCGCTGACATTCAGCGTTCCATAACCACCTCTCGTTTATTTTCAACAAACGAGTGAGGTGTACAGTGATTTCGGCGTAATTGCGTGAATACTGATGCAAATACGCCGCTAGCCCAAGGAATTTTCGAAGACCTTTGACATCAACCGGCACAGGCCAGTCGGTGATCGCCTTGATCTTTTCGGGATCAGGACGTACACCGTTCTTACCAACGATGCACCCAAGAAGTGGTATTTCGCTTGCTGCAAATATACATTACTTGAGGTTTGCATACAATTGATGCTTTCGCATGATTGTAAGAACCTGTCGGATGTGGTATCTGTGAACATCAACGTCCGACTTTCCATCCATAGCCCGACTATGGATGAACACGTCATCGAAATAACTCGGCGCGAATTCTCGTACTGGTCTCAGCAGATGTGATACAAAATCTGTTGAACGTGGCAGGGGCATTACTAAGCCCTTGTGGCATTACTAGTCATTCCCAGAGCATGCCGCTAGGCGTGCTCACTGCGGTATAGGGCATGTCCCATTCTCGCATAAGGATTTGATAGAAGCCATCCATCAAATTCATGGAAGAAAAGATGGTACTCTTTGACATACCATCAATGATTACGTCCTTCCTTGGTATCGGCGTCTGAGCCGGTACCGTTGCAGCATTCAACTTGTTGAATGCATGCACAATCCGCCACCCTCCTGTTGCTTTTCGCACACAGAAGGTCGGAGAGCTATGTGGGGAAGTTGATTCCCTCACATGGCCCGCAGCTAAACGATCGGCAAAGAACTTGTCGATCGCAAGTACTTGTTCACGAGGCAGTGGCCACTGCTTCATTACACAGTACTTCGAGCCTGGTTTAAGCTCGACCTCGTGTCGAATACCTTTATCCTTCGGTAATTCGCACGGAACAGTTTCAGGAAATACATCCTTGAATTCAACCAAATCTCTATAGAGAGGATTTGTCTTGAGCGATTCCCACGATTGGGAGTCATATCGCTCAACTCGTGTCTTTTCATCGAGGACACTCTCGTCCATCAATGAACTACTGAGAACTCTCTCGTTCTCAGTAAACATCGTTGCTGACCTTAAGTTGGCTACACACTCGTCGTCAGCGACGAGTACGCAGATCTGCTTGACTTTGCCACTACACAGATCACGCAAGAACCTTTTATGTTCGAGCGTTGGCAACTGAGTGATCTCCGAAGTCAACTTCGGAGGCGCAATCAGATCAAGTGTATAAGCGCCTACACTTGATCCGTTATTGACTAGGACATTTGATGTCTCTGTCATTTCCTGGGGACTTATTCCCTCAGGCTTCGAAGGACTTATTCCTTCGGCTTCCCGGGGACTTATTCCCGCGGGTTTCGGGGAACTTATTTCCGCCGTATTTGTAATCTTGGGACTTATTCCCTTAACTTCCTCTAGCTGGGGTTGCGCAACCACAGCGAGATCCTCTACGAAAGACTCTCCAGTCGATCTAGGTTTATCGTTTCGCTTAACCTGAGCGATCGATTGTTTCTCTTCTAGATGTTCCCCGCTAGGGATACATCTTTGTCCCAGTACACTCGACTTATTCGAGTGGTGGACCTTCGGCGCAGCCTGTGTTTCCTCACAGCCGCCGGAACTTTGCTCCGAAGTGTAACCGTTTGTTACACTAAGGGTTTGTGCAGTTGTACTAACGACCGTACCATATATGAGGCCATCGCACTCACTCGTAGTACATCCACACGCGTGTGGACGCTCCAAAACGTTCATCAGATGACCATCTGATGAACAAGCGGCAGGCATCGTTACTGTTCGATGTTGCCAGTTTACCCGTGGTTCGTACCTTCTGAGCCACGGTATTCCAAGGATGACATCAAATTTGTCATCCAAATCCAATACGATAAAGTCATCGTCATATTGGGTATCTTCTAGCGTATAGTAGATCTTCACTATACGCTTCATGACGGTTACGGATGCGCCTGTCGCAAGACGTACCTTCATCCTCGTAGGAGGTGTGTCACATTCAACAAACTTGAAGTGACCATCTTCTAGCGATTGGCGTCGCACAAAATTGTTGTACGCCCCACAATCGACTAGAGCTCGAAGGGACAACTTAATTGTCACTTCGAGTTTCAAGGTAATGAGTGAGACCTCATTACCTAGAGCAGCAACGCACAACGTTTGTGTGTTGGGAGCAACCTTCATCAAGAGGCCTACAAATTCTCTTGACGATGCTGGACCAGTAGGGTGCTCCGCACCTACTGATCCTGTCCGTTTTTTGACGGTCCATCCCGTTGTTGCATCTTTGCACCAACAGCGGACCCGCGTCCCTGCCCCTTTCTCATGGGTGGACGGTCACTACGCCCAGTGTTGCGAGACACTGGACGAGGGGCACTACACTCGTAAGCGTAGTGTCCTGTCTTTTGACATCTGTTGCATTTCTGCAACTTTTTGTAGTCTGTAGAGCGAGCCTTCTCGCTCTCTACATAACAGAGTTCCATCGGCTCTGGACCTCCTCTGTCATATCGTCTCGGTTGACGATATGATGTCGAGCTGGCGCGAGCCTGTCTCAGACTGAAGTCTTCCTGTTCCGCAATGGAAATGGCTTGTTCTAGTGAATCCAGTTCAAGTCGGAACAGGTGAGTCTTGACGGGACCATCCGCAAGATCCTGCATGAACGCCGAAACCAACGTGTGTTCATCCACCGGATTGAAACTTACACAGCTCGTGAGATGTCGTATATGTTGCGCGTAAGCGTGCACATCATGCTTACCTTGTTTGAGCTTCGAGAGTTCGGTTCGAGCTCTGAACTCAGCTCTAGGCGGTTCAAACGTTTGTCTGAGCCGCGACTTGAAGACTTCCAACGACCCAAACGCATATGGGTCGTGCAACTAGAGCCCCAAAGCCCAAGTCTTGGCACGTCCTGCCAGATTTGATTGGGCAAATGCAACTTGCATATCCCCGTCGTCGATGCGACGCGCCCTTATGGCGTCATCCAATTCGACGAACCATCTCAATAGAGAGTCCTCGTCGACTCCCCTATACTTGGAGATGTCAATCTTCAAGGTCTCGGGTCGATGCACTCGCGTCAAGGCTCGGGTCGACGCGAGTGCATCGACCCACCGGCAGCAGCCTGCTGCTGTCTCAACAGTTCAAACTGCTGAGCACCCTGTTCTCTCAAAAACTCTACTTGTTGAGAACCTTGTTGGTGAAGCAAGGCTACTTCTCGCGTTCAGCGTCAAGTTCATTTTGAATGAACTTGGCGATAGTAGCATGTTGAGCATCTCTATTGAGAGCCTCTAGCATGACGCTAACAGCATGGATGCCCATGGTTGAACCCATCCGTTCAACCGCATCCCACTCGTCATCGCTCAAATGGGAGTAGCCGTCACGCGTAGTGTGAAAGCTTTGGTCATCTTCATCATCCAACATATTCATGTTAGATGTGAACGTGGTCCTTGGACGGACTACGAAGTGCTACCAGGTGTAACGGGGCACCCTGAAGCTTGTACTGGTGACAGTACAAGCTACTTTTTCTGACGACAGAATGAGGCGGTGTCTCGGAACTTCACGTACACTCGTACGTGCAGAGGAAGACGGTAAGAAGAAGCGAGTACTTGGTTAAAGTAAAAAGTAGAACTGTATTTATAATAGTTAATGTCTGCAATAAATCACTATTTATCTTCATCTAACTATGTCTAAATACAAATGTGCATATCAACTATCTGCTCACTCATTGCATGCGTCTGTCGTGGCGCGTCTTCGTTGGTCGATATAATGGCCTATATCAACCAATTAGGAACTACTCGTAAGTACTACAGAATATTTGTCCTTATTAAAATATTCTGAGAATACAACTCTTATAGTTATATTCTATTAACAATTTCTTATAAATTGTTATGTAACGATTCACCCCGTCACATCACCCCCCCCTTAACCATCAGTCACTTTAGTGACTGATTGACTAAATGGATACTCGTCCCAAATCATTTGGGACAGGGTTTGCACTTGTTGGTCCGCGTCCACTTTCCAACATTTCATCGCATGGTAAACAAGCCCATGCGATGCGCGAGCAAGGCCGCCGAGAGCGCGTCTGCACGTCTCTGTGCGGACGCCGAAGCAGAAACAACAGCAACTGATGTCTCATCGGTTGCTGAAGCGACCCAGCCTGTGTCACATGGTGATGCAGGCGCTGGTCATGAAGACACTCGTGTCTTCACAGAGCACGAGCTCGGTGTCTCGTACTCTCCTGATACGGATGACGGATCCGTATCGACGGCGATTGAATCCAAGCCGCCTGCCAAGCGTGGCATGGATGATGCTTTGCGTCGTAGCATCTTTGGTTCATCTGATGAATCAGATGAACCATCGCCGAAGCAAAGGCGCTCGAGGTCGCGAGACTCGGGCGCTAATAGTGGTGTCGGTTCTCCTATGGACACCACTTCACAGCGAGGTGCCAGTACTTCTGTCGGCACGTCGCAGGAAGAGCGGGACCGCAATGTCTTGCGTCTCGCTCCAGAAAAGAAGGCATAGATGCCTCCAAAATCCGTCATGAATCACTTGTCGGCGACGACGACGGATCGTTATCGAACACGATTGTTCGATTCGTCAAGGATCCATCACCTTGACCCCAGCGCGAAAAACTATCGCGCTGAGACATGAATTCTTCATCGATGCTTTCTTTAGACATCGATGGTACAGTGGGAATCACAAACTTGATGGTCCCTCACTGCTTCAAGCGTGGAACGCCTACATCCATAACCTCGAGGATGTAGGTCGTGACGCTTGGAACGACAAACTTATCAAAGCTCGTGATAAGTTTGAAAATCGAACCCCGACAGGTGCACGCTACAAGCTGCATCGTCTGTCAAGGGAGAAGGGATTACCCTGCCTCTCTTGGGGAGACTCGTGCCCGTGTTGTGTGAACAACTCTGCACGAGCACCTAAGGAGGCTTACCTCCTTACCAGCCCGTGGTGGCGCGTACGTGTCTCTACTGAGATGTACGAAGGGATTGACAACCTGAAATCCCTTTACGACCGTGCCGGGAAGACTTTCTCCGGCGGTCCTTCTGCGGCACAGGATGTGCCGCGTCGTACTGCTCAACCAGACCCAGTACGTCAACCATCAGTTGGGAGCGAGGCTCCCAAGTATCCCAGGACGGGGGATAGCCGCGCCACAGGACGAGATAACTCGTCCGACGTCCGTTCACGTCGCGGTGGTTCAACAGCTGCTCAACTAGATAGCGCTGGCCACCGCGAGAGTCCTCTAATGGAGGTGGAGGAGGAGGAAAGACGCTCTCCACACGATCATGGGGATCGGTGTGTTCCCGAGAGCTTCTTTGATCGCGTAACGCAAGGGTTACGCAACGATCTCGAACATGAGCGGGACAGGCGTCTCCAAATGGGGGACACTGCCTCGAAGTATCGAGCTGAGTTTGCCTTTGCTCAGCTTGAGAACGAGAGATCTCTGACGTCTCTGCGTGACGAGCTAAGGGTAGCTCGTGGGATTGTTGATCGGTCTCGTGCTGAGATAACTGCTCTTCAGACCCTTGTTGATGCCCACCATCGGGAGCACAAGGCTCTCTGTGAGATGCTTGAGCGTAAGGGCGTTCTTCATCGGAAGAACCAGCGTACTGATGGTACGGCTTAAGTCGACCAACGTAAAACGTGGGATGCGTTCGCATCTTACGTGGTAACTCGATCGTGTATGCATTGCCTAGGCGGTGCAATACACGAAATGGACCGATGTACTTGGGTAGTAGTTTACTGCTACCCAAGTTAGTCAATACATGCTTTGGTAGATTAACCGTAGACAGTAGGACTAAGTCATCTTTATTAAATACAAGAGTGTTTGCCCTTCCATTCTTGTCAGCGTTTTGCTTTTGCTTATCCACCGCTTCGGCGATGGAGTCCTTCACAAAACGGACTACCGTTTCACAAGCCAGTATGAACTCATTTGCTGACTCGTTAGCTTCAGTGCGCTGTGAGTGCACTGCAGCGACATCAATCTTTTCTTCAGTGAGGGCTTCCGCGCTCTCACTGGCATCATCTTCTTCGATATCGATGTTGTCGATATCGGCGTCAAAAGCAATGACCTCATCGTCAGAGCGTGATGAGCGTGAACCAAATCGGTTTTTGTTCGCGCGAGTCCCTCCCCCCTTAACCAGAGGTACACTCTAGTAAGGTGGGTACACGCGGATGGCGCAAGCCATTCACGTAAAACGGTGTATGTGTCGTGGACGTATGCACCGAGTTGTTGATGGCAAACTCTACCATTGGCAAAAACTCACTCCAACTCTTAAAGGAGTGTACGTATCCTCGAAGTATCTCTTCAAGGACACGGTTGGCACGTTCCGTCTGACCATCTGACTCTGGATGATCAGATGTTGACATCTTCAAGCGCGTTCCGAGTGATTTGAACACGGAACGCCAGAAATCAGCAGTGAATCGTGGATCTCTGTCTGATACGAGTTCACGGGGCAACCCATGAAGTCGGAAGATGGTGTCAATAAAGACACAAGCACAGCCACTTGCCGTGATTGTCTCTGGTACAGCCACAAGGTGTACCATTTTGCTGAATCTGTCAACAAATACGAGAATACCCGTAGTCCCGCGTGCGTCTTTGGGTAACCCGAAGACAAAATCCATTGAGGTGGATTCCCAGCACTCAGCCGGAACCGGTAGAGGCTGTAAAGGTGCACGCAGTGAAGGACTTGACTTCACTCGTTGACAGACTTCGCATGTGCGAACATACTTTCGCACAAACTGATACTGGCGGGGCCAGTAAAAGTCTCGACTGACCGTGAGATATGTTTTATCTCGGCCACGATGTCCTCCTATACGAGCATCGTGATACTCGAACATGATCCACAAACGCAGATCAGTATCATCCGGAATGACAACACGTGGTGTGTCACCAGAAACGGCTGTATAACACAGTAAACCGTTACGAGTAGTGTATCGATCTGATGCAGATCGATACGAAGACGACAATCGTTTCAACGATTCTCGAGACGGTTGGGAGAGATGTGTCAACAACTTCACTATCTCACCATCTTGGGCGTATGCCCGCCTCACATCATCATACAACGTTGTAGATGGGACTGAGGACGTCATAACCGCAACAGTGACTGTCTCACTGTTGGGTTTCACGACTGGTTCAAAGTCGGGACGACGTGAGAGTGCATCAGCGACGACATTAAGTCGTCCTGGTTTGTACTCGATCGTAAAGTTGTATTCTGCAAAGAATGACAACCACCGCGCCATTCGTTGTGAAAGTTGCGGGCTGTTTATTGCCGTGCGTAATGACGCATGGTCAGTGTAAACAACGAAGGGTCTATCTCCTAATAGATAGACTCTGAACTTCGTGAGTGCATACTTCATGGCAAGGAGTTCCTTGTCATGCACTGGATAGTTCCACTCAGCTGGTTGCAGCTGACGCAACTGATAGCAGACGACGCGTTCAATGCCTTCAAGATCGTACTGCATTAATGCACAGCCGATTGCGAAATCGCTGGCATCACAGACCACATGAAATAGCCTGTCCTGATCGGCTATTGCTAGGACTGGGGATTGTATCAAGCTCTGCTTGATACCATCAAAGGAGCGCTGACATTCAGCGTTCCATAACCACCTCTCGTTTATTTTCAACAAACGAGTGAGGTGTACAGTCATCTCGGCGTAATTTCGTAAATACTTGTGCAAATACGCCGCTAGCCCAAGGAATTTTCGAAGACCTTTGACATCAACCGGCACAGGCCAGTCGGTGATCGCCTTGATCTTTTCGGGATCAGGACGTACACCGTTCTTACCAACGATGCACCCAAGAAGTGGTATTTCGCTTGCAGCAAATATACACTTCTTGAGGTTTGCATACAATTGATGCTTTCGCATGATTGTAAGAACTTGTCGGACGTGGTACTTGTGAACCTCAACGTCCGACTTTCCATCCATAGCTCGACTATGGATGAATACGTCATCGAAATAACTCGGCGCGAATTCTCGTACTGGTCTCAGCAGATGTGATACAAAATCTGTTGAACGTGGCAGGGGCATTACTAAGCCCTTGTGGCATTACTAGTCATTCCCAGAGCATGCCGCTAGGCGTGCTCACTGCGGTATAGGGCATGTCCCATTCTCGCATAAGGATTTGATAGAAGCCATCCATCAAATTCATGGAAGAAAAGATGGTACTCTTTGACATACCATCAATGATTACGTCCTTCCTTGGTATCGGCGTCTGAGCCGGTACCGTTGCAGCATTCAACTTGTTGAATGCATGCACAATCCGCCACCCTCCTGTTGCTTTTCGCACACAGAAGGTCGGAGAGCTATGTGGGGAAGTTGATTCCCTCACATGGCCCGCAGCTAAACGATCGGCAAAGAACTTGTCGATCGCAAGTACTTGTTCACGAGGCAGTGGCCACTGCTTCATTACACAGTACTTCGAGCCTGGTTTAAGCTCGACCTCGTGTCGAATACCTTTATCCTTCGGTAATTCGCACGGAACAGTTTCAGGAAATACATCCTTGAATTCAACCAAATCTCTATAGAGAGGATTTGTCTTGAGCGATTCCCACGATTGGGAGTCATATCGCTCAACTCGTGTCTTTTCATCGAGGACACTCTCGTCCATCAATGAACTACTGAGAACTCTCTCGTTCTCAGTAAACATCGTTGCTGACCTTAAGTTGGCTACACACTCGTCGTCAGCGACGAGTACGCAGATCTGCTTGACTTTGCCACTACACAGATCACGCAAGAACCTTTTATGTTCGAGCGTTGGCAACTGAGTGATCTCCGAAGTCAACTTCGGAGGCGCAATCAGATCAAGTGTATAAGCGCCTACACTTGATCCGTTATTGACTAGGACATTTGATGTCTCTGTCATTTCCTGGGGACTTATTCCCTCAGGCTTCGAAGGACTTATTCCTTCGGCTTCCCGGGGACTTATTCCCGCGGGTTTCGGGGAACTTATTTCCGCCGTATTTGTAATTTTGGGACTTATTCCCTTAACTTCCTCTAGCTGGGGTTGCGCAACCACAGCGAGATCCTCTACGAAAGACTCTCCAGTCGATCTAGGATTATCGTTTCGCTTAACCTGAGCGATCGATTGTTTCTCTTCTAGATGTTCCCCGCTAGGGATACATCTTTGTCCCGGTACACTCGACTTATTCGAGTTGTGGACCTTCGGCGCAGCCTGTGTTTCCTCACAGCCGCCGGAACTTTGCTCCGAAGTGTAACCGTTTGTTACACTAAGGGTTTGTGCAGTTGTACTAACGACCGTACCATATATGAGGCCATCGCACTCACTCGTAGTACATCCACACGCTTGTGGACGCTCCAAAACGTTCATCAGATGGCCATCTGATGAACAAGCGGCAGGCATCGTTACTGTTCGATGTTGCCAGTTTACCCGTGGTTCGTACCTTCTGAGCCACGGTATTCCAAGGATGACATCAAATTTGTCATCCAAATCCAATACGATAAAGTCATCGTCATATTGGGTATCTTCTAGCGTATAGTAGATCTTC